AGAAGGGCGCGGGGCCCGGGACGCCGATCCCAGTCAGTTGTCAGACCCAGGAAGCCCGGCGCTCGGTTCTCCCGACTCCCTCAGTGGGGTGAGGAATGGGTCTTGTGAAATCCTGAGCAAAAACAAAGGCAAACTCTATCTCTGAAAGGGACGTTTGGGTCACATTTCCTCTCTAGGGGCGGCCTACAAAGTTCGCAAAATGAGAAGGCAGAAATGAAAACACTTCAACTTTTTTTTTTTCTTTTTTTCCCGGGGCGGGTGTCTTGAACCCCTCCTCTTCCCGCCCCTCTGGCTCTGTTCTCCTCCCCTCCTCCACCCGTCTCCCGGAATCGGGGTGGCGCCGGACACCCCGACACTCTCGGACACTGTTTGGGGAAGGGGTGGGGGGCGGGCACCGCGGACTACATTTCCCATCATGCCCAGCACTGCGGTCCTCACTAAACAAAAAAGGAAGTCGATTCCTTCACCTGGATCCCCCGCGGCCCCGAGGAAGGGAGGGGCCGGGACCGCCGACTGCGTCGGAGACTTTTCACTAAGTTCCTGGTCAGATGTGTTGTGTGTGTGCTTCTAAGTTGCACTGTTCTGCTTCAGCCTTCGGTCGCGTTTCATGAAACCAGCATTGTTCGAGCCTGTGAGAACCCCGTCCTGTGTCTTAAACTGGATAGATTTTGTTTAATTTAAAGCCTTTTGTTGTAAAAAAAAAAAAGGGGGGGAGGAGGGGTTCTGCAGCCCCTCTGGTTCTCTGCCATCAGCACCATGTAGACTCCAAAACAAGTTGCCAACCCCTCGTTTCTTGGCCCTTCTCCCTCATTCCCCTGTATTTTTGTGCATACTGAATTGTACATCACCGGGTAAACTGTTCAGATTATTTGTTTAAATTTATAATCTTAATAAAAAGTCGACTGTAGAGGATGGTGGTGCCATGTCTTCAGGTCGGCGTGGAGGTAGCGGGGAGGACGGAGGTGGAAAGAGACCCCTACCCTCATGCAAATCCCAGCTTTCCTGGGCCTGGGCGGCAGGGATCTGCCCACATCCGCAACGCCGGGGGTGGGAGCAGGATTGTGGGGTGAGGGGGTGCTGGTTGCTGGGGTTGAAGCCAGTGCTGCTCTCTTCGGAGCCCTCCTCCCCCAAAAGAGCCTGCCCACCACGGGAACCGGCCGCCCCGGGGTCTCCTGCGGGAAGCGGAGCCAACCTCCAGCACATTTCCTGCCCAACCAGAGACGCAGGGCCTGGTCGGCCTCGAGTCCAAGCTCTCTGCGGCAGGGGAGAGAAACCGGGGGACGCTGGGGGGCTTTGGGGGCCACCCACACTCCCTACCCCGCGCCTCCGCCCGCACGTCCGCACGTCTCAGGCTGCAACTTGGGGAAGTTTTTTCTTTTTCCTTTTTTTTTTTTTTTTAAGTTGAGTTTGTTATCACTGCTCGGTGCCACTTGGTGGTGTGCTGGCGGCGTCTCCCTCCCTCCTCGCGCCCCTCCTCTCTCCCTCTCCCCTCCCGCCCGCCCGCCTCTCTTCCCTCCCCAGTGGATGGAGGCAGGAAGGCTCCAGGCGCGCTCTCCCCTCTGACCACCTACGGAATGACCTCAGAGTGGGAGAATGTGCCAAGGCCCCGAGCAAGCTCGCATTCTCCCCACTGGAACCAAATTCACATCTGGAGCCGCGGCTCAGGCCCGGGGGCGCGCGGGGTGGTTCCAGCTTTGCAAAGAGGGGATAGGAAAGAAAGGGGGAAAAAAAAAAAAAGCAAGCTAGAAAGAAAAAAGCAAAGTGCTTGCTCTCTGTTTGTTTGATAGTGTCCCTCTCGGCGTCTCTCTGTCTCTGGCTTTCTCCCCAAAGCTCACGCGCTCGCTTTCTCGTCCCCGCGCTCCCCTTTCCTGCACCAGCCGCCCCGCAGGACGACTCACGCCCCCCGCCCCAGCCTTCACGCCTCCCGCAGCGAGAGGAGGGGCTGCTGCCGAGAGGCCCCCACCTCAGACTCCGAGGGGCGGACGCAAGTCAGTCCCAGGGGTCCACTAGGCTCTAGGTCGCGGCGTCGCGCAAGGCGAAGTTCTCGGGGACACTCAAGAGCGCTGGGGGCTGCGAAGGTCCGCACGGGGGGTAGGGGAAGAGGGAGACTATGGAGGCTTTAGTTACGGGGAGAAAAGGCACCTTCACCCCCAGGGTTGTTTTCTCGGCCTCCCACGGAAAGAGTCGGGAGCTGCCGAGGAGGGGGGACGATGTGTCTCCCCACTCCCCATTTTTCCCCTGCAAATCTAAGGAATCGCTGTTGGATGCATGGTTTTGATGCAATCCACCAAGCCAGTTGCCAGAGCTCCCCCTAGCGCCGCTTCCAGGGCGCTGCAGCGGCTGCGGCTGGGAGTGGGCGAGGCACTGCCGGGGGCTTCGGTGCTGCGGGGGGCTGATCCGCGCCCACCTGAGGCGCAGCGCCGCGTTGGGATCCAGCCTGGGTTGGAGCGCGAGCCTGGGGCCGCGCGCCTCCCCACTCCAGGCCCGCGTCGAGGAGGGGGCACGTGGTCGGCCGCCTTTGTTGGGAGCGCGGACCTGGGCACGGAAGAGACTAGCCAAGGGACCTGGGGTCTCCCCACCCGTCTCCGGAACCCCATGGCAAAGGAGTGTGGGTGGTGGGCTGCGAAATAAAAGCTCTGAATTCAACAGGACCCTGGACCAGGCTTCTCCTCCCCTCTGCCAGGGTTTTTGAGCTTCAGCTGCACCAAGAGACTCAGGCGCTTTGGGAATCTAGTGAAACGGAGGGATGGAGATGGATGGTTCTGGAAGCACCCAGAAGAGGGGTGCCCTCCCCCATCCACGCTTATCTTTTCAGGGCCTAGGGACCTTGGGCAGCCACACAAAGGATTAAAGCCCTGAGCATAATCCGCAGTAACCCAAAACGCAACCCACCAACCATCTGCATCTCACTGAGACATTCCATACAAAATAGTAACACAAGCCCAGCCCTGATATTACGCTGCACACCACACTGAGGCCACACGGGCCAAACGCACTGTCCTCAACACAGGCGCTCTGAGTAGCATCCTCGCTTCACTCAACCCCTCCACACCTGTCCTGACACAGCATGCAGCAAACCTGCCCAGAACACCCTGAGAGACTAATACTCCCAAACAGAGCACCACTGAAAGGCTGGGAGATATGCGGGGGGCGGGGGGCATGACAAGGACACACACCTGGCCATGAGGGCATCCTAATAGGGGGGAGGACGCAGGCAGGCTGGCAAGCCAGGAGTCCACAGACCCAGGTTCACAATGAAGCCCCTCTCTCCCCAGTAAAAAGAACAAGCCAGACCCCACAAGAGACCCTAGGCAGGAGTTGGGGGTGCTGCTTGGAGAGGCAGGAAGATTGGAAGAGACTGGGGTCCCCAGAATGATGAGGGGGAACGTCCACAGAATAGCAGTTCTAGGAGAGATTCAGCACGCCCCTGGTGCCCCCAGATTAACCAGTGCTCCACTCCTCCCACCCACCCCACTTCCCCCTCCCCTACACACAAACACTTGCCCCAGCTCCTAGAACGCCTTAGGTCCTGCTGCCCTTGGTAGATGCTGTAGGGTTGATTCAGGCTCCGAGCCGCGGTCTCAGCCATTTGGAGCTGTTGAGATGACAGCCCTGAGCCTGGGAGAGCTGCAGGCTGCCCTCCAGAGAAGCCAGGGGCTGGGGAGGCCCTGGGCACCCAGAGGGACTCCTGTACAGGGCAGTGTGTGTGTGTGTGTGTGTGTGTGTGTGTGTGTGTGTGTGTGTGTGTGTCTGTGCACATCAAGAGCTCTGTCTTTCCGCATCTCCACTCACTGGGCGCACACTTACAGAGCGCCTGGCCTGTGCAGAGCACTGAGCTAACTAACCACCACGAAAAATAACAGCAAATAAAAGAACAGTACAGCGCTCTGTATGGATTCACTCATTAACTTTCCCGGCTACTCTGAAGTAGATACTATTAGCATCCCTGTTTTAGAAATGAGAAAACTTGCCCTGAGTCACACAACCGAGAAGCTGCCAGTCCTCTTGTGGGGGTTCACAGTCTAGTGGGGAAGAACCAAAGACATCTTCAAGCGCCCAATGCCCCTGACGTTGTCTGAATGGTAATACTGATAAGTTTACCTAAACTAGCAGGTTGGGAGCACACCTCGCCCCCAATGCTTCATGCCCTGGGTCCTAGGATCCAGGAATAAAGAGAGACACAGGACAATACTGCCTGTGTCCCACCTCATCCGGGCAGGAACTGACCTTTTCATGGTAAGGGACAGCAACCCAACTGGAACCAGCCTAGGCAAAAGGTGGAATTTCTTGACTCATGGCTCAAAACCGCAGTGGGCAGGGGTGCAGCTGGCTTCAGGTACAACTGGATCCAGGCACAAATCCCCAGTAGCCATCTCTCTCTCCTTTTCTCACTCCCTCTCTCTCTCCTATGACTTCCTTCTCTGCCCTTGAGCTTCCCGCTCTCCTATGGCAGACCCACGTCTCACTATAGCAGTCGGAGGCGGCTCCTGGCTGCCCACCTCACAGCTTCGCCACCTGGGAGAGACTGGCCACTTCTCTTATTTTCAACTCAGAAAATCTCAGGGAAGGACTGTCCCGTCCCAAACCTGTGGCCAGGGTTAGAGGGGGGTTGGTAGTCGCCTATTGGTAGTCCCAGGTTTGCCACCCAGAACTCCCCAGGGGAGGGGAGGCGGCGGCCCCA